TGAAAAATCGCTGTATATCATCACAAAGCAGAAATCTAGCTTTATTAGATGATCCAAAAATACCGTATCACTAAAACCATAACAAACATAAATACATGAATCAGGACCCGCTTTTTTCAATCAGCGATGGTTATGCAGTGTTCTTCCGCTTCGTCCGCTGCAACATCGTCTTTATTTTCAAACACTGGCTCATTTTCTGCTCGTGACAAATTGTACAGCGCTGCACAACAAACAACTATTCGTGCTATTCTTGCGGACCTAAAATCAGTTGCACCACATTACTACATGGATTACATGGAACCAAGAATATTGTCTATAACCTATACTATACTATTACTATATAATTGTACCTTATCGTTTCTTTCAATATAGGAAACTGCCTCTTCCAGTTTGCAATCGCTTCCTGTACGATCACATGTGCAATTCTCAGTGTAGTTGCCATAGCGAAGTCCTTTTCTTAAAATAGATCGGTTCGCTGACTGGCAGGTGGAATTGCATCAGGCACCAAAGCATTGGAAGGGGAGGGAAGAGGACGGGCAAGGAGGGCCACTTCACAGTCGCGGTGAAATAGACGTTGCAAACAGGGTGACATACGCACCCTCTACGCTAAGGCTGCGTTCATATTCTACGGCAGCTTCCAGCAACGTCCACCAGCGTCTGCCAGCGTCTACCAGCGACCGGCAGCGCCAGCAACTAGAAAAGCATAGATATCGATCTAGCGTCTGCCAGTGTCCACCAGAGTCCACTAGCGTTCATCAGCGACAGGGAGTAGAGAGTATGACGAAGTAGGACTGTAGCAAACAGCAGTATTTGGCGTCGTGAAATTGCGGCAAGTGCAACCGCACCGCATAACTACACTATATCGCACATCAAATTGCAGACTTTTGTACTTTAGCAGTTGTACAGTGCGGCTGCACACGCCGCAATTTCACGACGCCTGATCCAGCTGTTTGCTACCTCTCCTACTTCCCCATACTATTTACTCCCGGTCGCTGGTGGATGCTGGCAGACGCTGCTGGACGCTGCTGCAAAGCATGCACGCAGTCACTTCCGAGCTGCCACATCAGGCACTAACAGCGCAGAGAGGGTTAGTCGGTTTGAGAGACGTAGAGTCGAGAGCCCCGCACTGCCACTTTGGGTTGATAGGGTCTTAGTGCGAATGCTGCATACGTCATTCGGCCGCATTCGCCGCTATTCGGAAGTGAGACTCTACACCCCCTTAAAACGACTGGAACAAGGAAAAACCTGGGGCCTTCACTCCCATGACCTGGCCCAACTTTGAGGTCAAAACTACGCGACAAACATGGTGGGTAGTGGGGCTCACATATAAACGCAAGGTGGTCATTCAGTCCAGATGTACAGCAGCTTCCAGCTGAAAAATTTGGCGCTTTCGTCAACGCGAAAGGAAGAGCTTGCCTTTTTCAAATAGCAACTACTATACCTGACATCACGTCCTTTCCTTTGCTTGGTGTCAATAGAAATCTCTCTTTTTTATAGGCATCATCACCGATTAGAATTCCCTTTCTTCTGCCATCTCTCAACTGTCGGCAGAGTAAACTCTGTTTGAAGACCTACAAGAGATTTTCAACATAAAAAGGTAATTAGCCTACTTTCAAATCAATAGCTCACTGATTCGTCGTCCTCATGCGCGCGGAACTTCGCGAATACCCACCGAAATTGCTTTCTATCATCAGCCACAACTCCAACATTAATTCCTTGGATCCCTTTTCTGAAAATCACGACTTGGACGTATGTCTGCACCACCTGCATGAGTTCTCATTCTTATGTAGCTGTACTAGTAGGCAAAACACGTTATATGATTGCCGCGCGCAGTTATCGGACCGGGGGCATTTTGCTTTCTCGACCCATCTAGGTAGCGTTTTCTTGAGTTGACACGTTTTGGGATGGTGGCTAGACGATCCTGCTCCAGCTTTACAAGCGTTCACAAGTTTTACCAAAGTGAGATCGCATACCGGAACAAGGGAAGCAGTGATAGTACAAAATGCCCCCCCCCGTCGATAAACAGCGCCATGATTGCCTACTGCCCTCACCTGGTTAACAAAAAAGATCCTTTCCCTTATGCGTCCTTAGCATTCACACCTTACGAGCACACCGTCATTTATAAGCTGGGTCTTCGTAGCTGTCGGGGTCATGCGGTCCCTCAAAGGGCTGGAGCATTACCCTTGAGGTGCCTCCTTCTCTGGAGCTCTATCAGGATGAAGCTTCTTCAATATGGAGTACAAATTAAGACGCTGTTTGGGCCCTGGGAGTGACATTTTGCACTTTTGCACTTTCACTAATCCCTTTTGCTAGTTCACGTTAGCGAACAGGTTTCATTTTGTTGAGACCTGTGAACCCGTCAAGCTGCGAAATGGTACAAGTGAGCCACTTCAACTGCATGCTTCGTAAAACTTCAAAGATGGACTGTACAGAATTAGCTGCGTACCATTTAGTGCCCCTCCCCCCCCCCCCCTCAAGCCGAACTGCGCCCAAGTCAGTTATCACCAACTAGTGTGCCGCATAAGTCTTACAAGATAAGGAAAAAACTGCAACTCACATTATTGTCCCATCAATACAACCCACAATACCTCTTAGGCCAGTCATGTCGAAGAACCTGGAAACGCTCTTTGACTATAATATCACATCAGCGATCATTTCGTAGCCACCTCGACGGAACGGTGCGCGACCGCACGCTTTCCATGGCTGTAGTTTGCGACTGAGGAGATACGGCGATTTAGGAGACTAGACGACTTGAGAGATTGTGCGACAAGTGAAGCATAGGTATCGATCTGACGGCTGCCGAGATTGAGCGATTCGGCAATTCGACGAACATGGCTGTTTCGGCGATAGCGCGTCAAAGGAGTGGATGAGTATCGATCGGCGGTGGTCGCTAGCGAATGCGAAGATTCGGCGATCTCTCGAAACGCTGGATTGCCGAGTCTCTCGAATCGCCGGATCGTTCAATCTTCCGAATCGTTAGATCGCCAAATTTCCGTAATCGTTAGCAACTAGCGACCGGCGACCTATCCCATCCACTCGTTTGGTGCGCAATGGCCGGAAACACCAGTTGTCCCAAATCGCCGAATCTCCTCAGTCGCATAGCATGAACGCGACCTTATAGATGGATGTGAAATGTATGTATGGATATTTACGCATATCAAAAAAATGATGTTGAAACTCACTTGTC